CACCTTATCGACATCAAAGGTCGCCTTAGTTGGTTTGGGACCCACCGCACAGTAGAAACTAACCTCCACTGTTTTAGCATTGTCGGAGAATGTATAAACCAAATTCAAATAAGGTTTAGACACGCTCACGAAATATGAGCCGTCTGGCTCGTGGGATAGGGCAACACCGACGAGTATGAGATGGAGAAGATGGTTGAGCATGGCTTCGATCAAGAAACCTACAACAAGTAGTCCTCAGAGGGGTACAATCACCAATGATAGAAATCTGATATTGTCCCCGGTGTCATGCGATGAACCTTTCGAGACTATGATAGCGACAAGTTCACTATCATTAATCCCGGAAAATAACCTTTATGGTAACCTTATTTTCGTACTAGACTTGGAGGTTTTCAAATTACGACTACGAATTATTCGCGTTGTTTCGCAGTTGGAAGTAAAACGAAATTCTGATGAAAATCGATTTACGTAGTCTTAGTTTTGACCCCCCCCCCCATCGGGGAGGACATAACATTCTCGCCGACAAATTCGATGAATAGTTCAAGGCAGGTTCAAACTGCCCCTCCACACTCCATTCAAATAGACAATACCACTCCAACGCGAACTAACGCAACTAGAGGGTATCATTATACGTCTCTATTGATACCGCCTTCTTATGCAGTATGCAAAACATTCGACAATGTACACTGGTCGAGCGTGTCAGCCTTGACCAGATTACAGGGCATTGCCGTGAAGTTGAGGGGACCATTACCAGAACTCCCCATCAGAGAGTCGCAATCCTCCTTCTTTCAGTTGGAAATGAAAGAGATACAGTGAAGAGCGCAAGGCTAGAATAAGAGGACCTCAGGAGGAGTCACAGTCGAACGAAGAATACTAAGAGGGCCAAAAGGGACAAATGTGGTATCGACTGGAAAACTACTCCCCGGTCTAATGCCGACTGGTTAATAAGGAAGGCATGTATGGCATGAGAATCACCGTTACGGAGATCCATGATAGCAATGGTTGAAGATAAGCTACTGGG